TTTTTGGTCAATGAGTGACAAGATTCTCGTGAAAGAATATTATATTTATCTCAGCTGCATTTCGCACTATTCTGTGCTATCGAATCGATGCATCGATGGTGTTTTCAACTATATAATCATAGATTATTTATGTGTTGTTTCACAACTAGGACAAATATTGACGAATTATTTTGTACTTCGTCATATGACAAAAAAATTAGTAATTCCGGCATGTATGCCGGTCACAAATAGGCACCTAAGTTTGCTCAGCTTTGTCTTCTCTAAAACCAGTAGTTCACAAAGAAGAACCAAAGCTATTCTTCTATAGAAAACACAACCTAGGATTAAACTAGTGATTTAGGCCATAACCAATCAGTACCGTTTGAAAAATAATTTCTTCCGTTAGAGATTAAGTAACGAGATTCCTAGCGAGTCGAATAGAGAGATTTCTACTCTGTTCGGATTTAGTGTCTAATTCATCTCTCAGTCACATCGAGTTCACAGGTACCAGTCAAGCCAGTGTTGTTCGTCGTCGTAGTCATCCCTTATGCTCCTAGATTCGAAAGCTTTCCTAAACCATCTGATGCTCTTGCAAGAAGGCTCGAGATTCAACTATAAATGATTCGAAGGAAACGACCACACATCAATGTTTTTGTCAGATTCTGTAGGGGTACCATGCAATTGATTTTGAATGAACTTTGATATGCAATTCAACTGAGATCTGTCAAAAGAATTATGCTCTTCCCAGCACAAGTTTCATGGCCACAGCTCCTTTGTTATTTCGCATCAGACAGGTATATGTCCTATCCCATTCCAGAACGGGATGGAATTCGACTAATAGCAAGCGTCAAATCTTGATGTCAAAAAAAAAACGAATGAAAGTCACCAGAGTGTCTTCTTTCTTCAATTGAAAATTAAAATTCAAGTATTTTCATCGTTTTATATAAAGTATGATCAAACTACTGCTATATCTAAAAGTGACGAGAGTCAATTTAGCGCCTTCAATGGAGTACTGTCATGTCAACCTTCAACAAGCCGTAAAAAGATAAGAACGTATTCACTAAATATTTTATGTAGTGTTTTTTTCTTCCAACGCAAAATTACACAACTTCTTTTGTCGATCTTCGTATGACTAATCAAAGCAAATAGTCTGCGAGGAAGTAAGTTGTTTGTTGGATTTATGTTTATGAGTTACACTCATATCGAGAGAACTTCTATTAGTCATCGATGTATTCGTGGTATTATTCGGCCTTTTTTTTAATTTAATTCTTCAAGAGGAGAGCTAGAGAAGGTACTTTATTGTGTGTCAAACTTCATTTTAGATAATTATTGATTTCCTGCAGATCTGCAGAAGCAATAACCACTATGTTGACATTATCCACATGTTGTGAAATTCGTCACACATCATGTCTACCTAAAATCATATCTATTCTTGAGCAGGATTCACTCGTCTTTCAGTCACATAACGGTATTTTAACTGGTTCTCGTGCTGCCCGTTGTTTCATACCCAATTTCCGAGGAACATCAGACGACAACGATGCAGATTGGGACGTCATCATTTCTTCCAATATTCTATTGGAATGGTTACGCTTGCGAGAAAAAACAATTATTAGTATTGAGATGATCATTCCTACGACAAATGATTTAGACTTGTATGTTGATTGTGTTCTGTCTGATAAATCGAAATATGATTTTGCCATTCCACGATCATCAATATCCTACACTGCATATTCATTAGATAATGTGAAAAAATCGATTGACAAAAGGTCAAGCTGGGTGTCATGGGCAAGAGAAAAAAAGTCCTTTTTCAACGGGTTCTGCCAAGCTTCTACTAATATTGAAAAAGTATATGCTCTACTATTCACATCAGTGGGAGAAAACAGCGAGAGACTATTGTCAACTCCTTACAGTCGCTGATCCTCTTACCGATGATGATACAAAATTGTGTGACTTGTTTGTTCGTTATAATGAGAAATTGCATGGAAAACGTCCTCAGAATACAGATGAATTTGTTTTCAATTCATCCAATGCTCAGAAAAGAATAACTTTTAGTCGAGATGAATTTTTTTAACTGATCAATGACAAACAGCTATCATTTATCTACCATGTTGCAATGTCAATGTCTGTTGCTGGTGATATTCTCATTGGATTGGAACAAATATGTACTCAAGGTCCACTCTGGCTAGCTAATTATGTGATCGACAATTGGATTGCTATTCAAAACGAAAAATTCAAACAAAAATTTGTGTTATCTCCTCCATGTCTTAAATTTGAAATTAACAATCATCGTTTATTTCCAAACATTCCTGAAATTACCTCACAACGAATTCTCCACTATCTCACCGATACAGCTGATTTTTATTCAATGCAATTTGTGTGTAAACGATGGTATACGATCATGCATCAAGAAATATTCTGGCGAGATTTGTATCTTTCATGCTATGGAAAATATTCAGGCAATGTTGATAATATCAAAAGCTGGAAGATGTTGTACTTTGTGAGACTTGAGGGGCATATCACATATGAGAGTAAATTTGAGCAATTAGTCAATGAAACGATTGAATTGAGACAATTTTCGGCGAATGACATTTTACAACTATGGGAAGATTTGACCCATGCAGAACAATTGGTCGAATCTGCTATTCTATCTAAAATCAATTACATCCTGTCTAATTGCTTGTACTATCATGTGGAGAAAACACCAAATCATTTTTCTGTCAAACTTCTTATTATTGGATTAGAACACGAACGCTCTCGATCGAAAGTTGATTTGGAATTACGTGTCGGACAGTATGGAAGGGAATCTCGATTCAGTGATCACATGGAAGAATTATCTATTGAATATCTGTCAAACAGTGGTGAAAGGCATTTTGTTCAATTTTTTGGTCCAACTTTAGTTGGATTTCGTTTTGAATGTCGAGGATATGTCCGTACCAAAAGCACACTTCTTGAAAAATCCCAGAGTACCCTCTGCTCCCAATTTCCATCTGGTCTTCTCATTTGCCTATTCATCATAATGGTTCATCATGATCATCGCGCACAATTCATCAAATATTTGAAACGTCTTGAAGAACATTGCTTGAGAAATCGTGCATTTTACGATTATGATTAACTGGTAAAACATCAATGAGCAATCGAGTCAGCTACAGTATTCTATGGACATAATATGTGTTCTCATAAACGAAAAAGACTCGGACAAATCAACTCTATTCTTTCGAACTGGTTCATGTTATAAGCTTTTGTCATTGTCATCCTAATGTCTTACTTCCAGCTTCGGTGAAAAAAAATATAAGGCTCGTATTTTAGCTCACGTTACATAACAAGTAAGGGTGTGGGTGTGTATATATGTGGGAATGTATTTCTACCTGCATTCCACGGTGCGGATGTCGATGGAATGCGAGTATGAGTTTGCATCTATAGTACTCGCACAGTACTACTCACATCTACCTCTACTCGAAAACATTTTACTAAAACTGGTAAAAACGAATGAATTGAGAAAATTTATTCACTTGATAAAACTGATATTAAAATCAAAATTTTTCTTTGAAACACCTACGAATTTTTGTCAAGGAGAACATAGCTATACTTTTTTAGTTTTATCAACAGTACATTAAAAGTATTATTATAATCTAAAAATTCAACAAATCTGTCTGTCAACGATTTGTGATTTGATATTAAATATTTTCTGATTATGTAAATCTATGAATTAAAATTTGTTTATGAAAAGAAAACTTGTCACATATTAGATGACAGAATTCATCATTATATTACAAAGATCGATACTTTTTATTTTGCAATCGTTTCCATTTCATTAATTTAGTATTCGGCGAATTTTATTCGATCGTATTTAATAGTTGACTGAAGACAAACGGCAATTCTAAATCAAAATCAATGAAAAATATGTTTTAAATTAATTTTTTAAGTTGATTTAAACAACTTGATTTCAGCTCTTTCCTGATCTTTTCTCTAATATTTACATTCGCATGAGCCGTCACCTCGCCTTGCTCATAAGGCTGTCAAAATCATCACTCGAAATTTCAGACATATCCGATCTCGTCGATCAATCATCATTTTTCTTGATGATTGCTAATTGATTGACAGAAACAACTTGAAAAAGGTTTACATTTACTTTTTTCTGTCAGATTTTTGTAAATCGTCTTAAAAGAAATATGAATATCAAAAGCATTTAAAACACTCGAAATCTTCAAGTTTTTCAGATCAGCCTAACAACTTTTTAGAACTTAAATATGTAACCTGAAAAGCACCTGTATGAAACAAGCTAAGTGTAAATCATGCATTTTTGATGATGAGAAATATGAAGTCGAGCGGACAAGTAGAGAAAAATAAAGTGAAACTGCTTAATTACTTTTCTCTAAAAAAAGTTTTATCAAGAGAGTGTTGTATATCTATAGTTTATAATGTTGGACAACTTTCACATTGACTCTCCTGTGAACTACGGCATTGTTTGCTATTCTAATGACGTTTTTTGTGTTTGTTATGTATTTATTCAATATTCACATACATTCATCATTCAACGGCTAGCATTGATGTTTCTTCACTTATTTTTAAAGATACAAATAATAATTTTAGAAAAAAAAAAAGAACTCACTATTGACATCGAATGTCGTGTCGATAAGATGAATTTCATTGATTCCCTTGAAGAGCGCATGTTTCTTATTCTTCGTAACCTTGAAACGGGTTCCTGGTAACAAAATCAATTCTTGTTCAGTAGAATTCAAAGATAAAATTGATAAATCTCTTGCTGATGTTGATGTAATCCAGAAAATAGTTCCGTGCTGTTCTTCGATGACTGTTTCATTCGCAAGAGACATACACACATCCCAATTCGTTATTAATGATGGAATATCCCACTATAAAGAAAATAAAATCGAAGAAGATTAATTACCAAGGAGCTCACTAAAAGAAATAATTTTAAGGAATTTCTTTGATAAAGAATTCTTGAAAAAAATATTTTGTGATTGAAATTTTGTTTTATGTCATTTCCTTTGATTCTTTTAAACTCAGATCACTTTAATTGAAATAAAAAATCTTTTAATTTTATTACTTACCCAAGTTACGAAGGAATCGACTTGATACAGATCAATTTTGTTATTACCACTTACTACACGACAATGTACTCCTGCACGTTTAGGTAATTTATATACAGCATTATGAAAAAGTTTTAGATATGGAAACCAAGGTTTAATTTGTTCATATTGTTCACTACGAAGTGCTTCATTGAGAGGAAGATAAAGAAAAAAACAAGATACATATAATTTTATTGTAGCTATTTCTTCCTTTGACAATCCATTGGCATCAGTGGAATTCTTCAAAAGCCGAATAGCATTATGCGCTAATATTTGTCTTCGAAAATGTGGTAAATCTTTGAAAGCAACCACGAGTGAAGGTTGTTCCAGTTTCATGTAAATTGACTGGAGATCTGCAATATTCAACCGCGTACATACCGCCTATAAATATCAAAATAATTAAACTATGATACTGTGAGATCCGATTAAGAATTGAATGTGTTAACAAAGTAAACATAATAGAATCTGTGGTTTGAACAAACGAAAAAATGTATTTTCTCCAAGAATATTTGAAACAAAGAATGACATAATTTTCGTAAAATGTTCAAAAAAGCCTTTTATTTCGGTTGACTTTTGATTTGCTCATTATTTAACTGATCGAACAGACACAAAAAATGATTTAGCGAGCTTTTCAACACTGAGTTGATGATGTATCAAATACTGGACCATGGTATAATAGATGATATTTTCTTTCTAATGAAGAATGTAATCGTCTATGGATATTTGATAGCAACTAGTACCAATTTCCTTCGTCTGATGCTTGATAATTCTAACTCGATATGAGACTTATTTTTTGTACTACTCAAAATAGATACGAGGCAGATGATTAGTAATACTAGGTACATTCTTATTTACAAACAGTTTCAGTCTTTCCACCAATGATAGTGATCAACTCTGTATCTATTGTTCATGCTAGTTGTGTTTAATCCTAACCGTTTTTTTTTGACTAGCATTAAAAACAAGTCTGAAACTACGAGATATCGAAAAAAAAAGAAGAGCATGTATTAAGTATACAATGATGTAAATTTTCTAATTGAGTTCTTGTAATGATCAATGGTGGCACATTTTTTCACTCCGATTTCGACACTGAAAAACTTTAAACGATTTTCTTTTCTAGGTTTAGGACTGTAAATAATTTATGTGTTGTTGAATAGTTTTCGAGAAACAGCACAAATAAAAAGGATAAGGATTCATCAACGATATATTTTGTCTTGTGTTTTGCATCTACTATCGACTACTTATGTTCTGATCTGTTCTTCTGAACAAACTACTTATATCATGTGATTCTAGACTTCATTTAATTATTTAAGACGAAAACCTTCACGAGTTTTTATGAGATCACATCATAAATAAGCACGAGAACAAAGGTAACAACTCACATTTGCAAAATCAGGTTTTCAAAAGCGAAGAGCATCTTCCAAGGAACATTAGTTTAACTACAATAAAATCCACTAAGAGAGTTAACATGCAAAAACTTAAGTTTCTTCTAATATTCATGATTTTTAAAACTCCGTTACCTTTCCTCAGATATTTGTTGATCCGAAAAATGAGCCTACAAATTTCCTCTTTCTGAGAGATATCATCACAGACAGTGTCAGGGGATCTGATGGGATCATTCAACAGATTTTATAGTATTCTGTCAGCTCAAAATGCCAGAATGAAGGTCAAATGGAGAATATACAGTACAAATGGTCAAAATAAAATATTTTCGGCTGTAAAGCACGCCAATAAGTAGCTAACGTACTGTATATACCGTGTTAAAATTTTCAGCGACAAACATGTTTCAGTTCATGAAATACAGCAGACTAAAGAGAAGCAACTTTTTTTGCTAATTTCTTCCATGTTCAATATCTCGAAAACAAAAGATGCGTTTTGACTGAAAATTTAACAGCAAAGTGATGGCAACGAAAAGTAGTTACGAGAAAAGTTTCAATTTAAAATTCTTCTCTTGAAGATTTTTGTGAGATACAAGATTTTCAACAAAGAGTTCTGTATAATTCTAGAAGAAGAGCAAAGTAATGTGTTCTGACTGTACGGTGAGTATACTGAGAGTTAACAAGTACTATATTTATAGTTGTCTTTACTCTTCGGCTTTTAAGGGTTAAGAAATATCTCGATATAATCATAAATCTTTTTTTTTTGTCCTATAAATATCTCCTGTTAAAGCACACAATACTGTTTTTTTTGAAACTTATCAGCTGCAATAGTTTTTATCAGGCTCAGTGTATCGAATCACCACGTAATGAGCACACTCATATCATACCCGCAGCCAACTTGATTTCGGTCTCTGATTTCTAAACTCGTTGTGATATGATATCTACCACGTGAAAGATGTTTTTGAAAATACTCAAATAACATATCAGTTAATTTTTCTCTTATTGATACAGTATAATCATATTCTTCAATTTAATTAGCTTTACCTTTGATGTAAGCCAGAAAATGACGTAGTATAAAATAAAACACATTGTATAATTATTAGAAGTCAATCAATATGAAAATATGTATAATTGGTTTGAAAGTTAACTAAATGATAGAGAATAAAAAAAAATTCTTTTATATTATATATTATAAAACATAATCATTGTAATTCTTTACAAAAATTTACGCTTCGAAGTAAGTCCTTTTCTCATAGACACATACATATGGAAATATCAGCTCTTTTAACTGGCTCTGTATTTAAAAGAAATATTTCATGTATTGTCCTACAGTATAAATTCCATGTGTGGAGAAACTTTCAATGTATAATCGAACTACAGAAAATCACTTCTGAAAAGTTGAATCATTAATGCTCCAGTAAAATATTGAAATAATTTCATTATCTCAAGATTTAAAAATATGATCTTATTGAATGATAAAAAAATTTTACAAAGATGTCTATAGAACATCCGATTTAGCTCTCTCTCTTTTACGAATAATGAATATTAATCGTTGAAAAATAATCATATAGAACAAAATGAAATATAAATATTTATGATAACTGTGTGATACGAAAAAAAAATGTTCTGATAATCATTATCATCAGATGACTAGATTTTTATCAGATATTGCGATTAGAACGAACAAGTCTTAATTAGTGAAAAATCAAAGTAGGCCATGGTCAAAGAAAATCAGCAAAATCAACTGATGAAGCTTTAATAATAAAACTGAACACATACAATATCAAATACTTTTTTTCGAAATTTATTTTGAATAGATTTTTGAAATAGTAAAATATGGCATGAGCAATGAATTATCAATGCTATTCCAAATCAGACGTTGATTATTGTCGATAAAATCGTCACACTAATTTATTGAAAAAAAAAAGATAAATTCGAAATAAGTTACGAAAATAAAATTAACATGAATTTCTTAATGAAATACGCGCTTCAAAATTTTACTTTGTATAAAATCTTTGCTGTTTATAATAAAATACAAAAGACATATGTTGGCTTCGCAGTCGGCCTCTTTTCTTTTTAACCAATTCTATAATAGATTATACTTTGAACTTTTGTCCTATATTTTTCAAAAAAAGTAGAAGATTTTTGTGAAAAGTATCAAAAATTCTTCTGACAAAATCCCAATGCATTGTCATTAACGTCCATGAATATGATGCAGCTATTATAATGCATACGTTTGTTTAAAATGATTTTTCAGATCGGTAATAATCAAAAGAGAACTGATCTTTTTAGAATACACAAAAGAGTGAATTGTGTGTGGTACAGGCGACTTAGAAAAATACAATATTTATGTTTAAACAAGATGATTTCTTTCTTTCCGTAAATGATTTAAAAGTTTTTAGATGAATTTTATCTATTAAATATTTAATTACTCATCGAAGTCGAATTTGATTTCGTATTGTTTTTCGATGGACTAAACTATATAATGAATTGAAAACTAAGTTATTAGACGAAGTAACGAAATAATTATTAAGAATTTAAAACATTCATGATAAAAGCATAGATTAAAAAATAACACGGTGAATCTGATTCACACTTTATGTGTGTCAAACAACTCTCCACGTTTTCGTACAAACACTCACTACATTAAGTTTCGGGAGCAATGGAATGGAACACCAGAGTTCACATAATTTTTGCTGAAGCATTAAAAGGTCACAAGATGGACACCATTCATTTTTTATGTGTCTCGTATCACAATATTCATTTATTCACACAGACAATCAGTACAGTAGATCTCTATGATGTTGAATTGGATAAGACTTTTAGCAGAAAAACTCGAAAGAAATATTCTACATTGTTTTGTGGAATTTTTCAAAAAATTCGAATAAACTTTTTTTTTCAATGCGTTCTGATATATAATTCGCATGTTAAGTATTGATACTCGACGGGTTACATAAGAAAAACATGCAAAAAGATACATCTGGAGATGAACATTGTTCTGATAATCCGAATCATTGGAAGAAAAATGCTCACGGATATCTTGAAAGAATGGATGTCGATCGATTTGAGTCTACGCTTGGACAATACTCACATCCACACCCTCGACATCCAACAGATTTTTTAAATTGACATCTTCCAAAATTTTTTTATGTGCCTGAACAATTTTCAATTCTTCTTTCAGTATAGACGGTATTGCTATCAAGTCAGATATACATAATTCATGTGAACCAATCATCGAGTATAAATCATTGCCAAGAAGTGCTGTTTGCTGATCATGTAGGACATTGGCAATCAAGATAAGAACGGCAGCAGGTCTAGTTGTATTAAATGTCGTATGTAAAGCAGATAGAGTCTAATGAAGTTCAGATATCATTTGATCTATGTTAATTTTCTCATTTTTTTCAATGTTTGATAAAGTATTAATTAAGTCATTATGGATTATATGACATGCGTTTATGTAATGTGGAACAACAATAAGAATCATAGCAGATCGACAGTAAAGTCTTCAAACCTTTTTTCTGAACAATACCTGTAGTAATCTTGTTGCAATTGGTTAAATCGAAAACAAGAACAAAGAAAAGAAACAAATAAAGTAATAAAGCTAAACTTACATGTTGTTTTTGTATTGTTTCATTATCTTGAGCATTATCAGCAAACTTGAAGGGTTTTCTCATTTGAATCAATTTGGATTTTATATTTTCAGCTGGTTATCGATTTGATTTATCCAACAGAGACATGTTCAATGTACAATTATCACGATTCATTTTGCTTTTCTTCGTTCAAAGTCTACAGTATTTATTGAGAGTCTAACCCAAACAAACAGAATAATATTTTCATTAAGAAAATTGACGAAAACAAAAACTACCATAAATTATTAAAATAATCTTATGGTTACGGTTATTTGATCGATTCCTCTTGGTTATAGTTCAGTGGAATGATTTTTATTATATAATGTTGGTCGGATCATATGAAACAACAACATAAATGATCTACTAACTTCTTGTCGAGGCAATTTTGATTGATTTTGATGTTCACATAGTACAGGAAGTTTTACTCAGATAGTCTTAGATTGATTTGAAACTAAAAATCAATTGAAAACAATATTTAAATAGATTTATAACCCTTACAGAAAGTTTTTCAAAACTACTAATCCCACCCAAGAATGTATTACTTTCAATCGATAGAGAGTCACACGTTACTTTTCCAACGATAATTTCATTTAGCAAGATTAACTCTAGTACATGTTGGCCAATAGTTTCCTTTCCTTCTTTTTTCCTTCGAACAATCATTTAATCATTTGATTTTTGTTTTCCGTAGATATTTTTTATTTGAATCCAAATTTTCCACTTTACTCTAAATATTATTTGCTATTGAAGGAAGATTTTACACAAGAATTTACCTAGGTTTTTTTCTTGCGCGTTAAGTTCACGCGCTTCTTGATAGATGTCACATTCCGTGCACCAAAATGACACACAAACACAACAATCATTGCAAGGTTCTTCAGATAAGTGTGCATATGCGATAAAAAGCAAAGACCTAATGATTCAGTACATGCGTAAAGAAAACATTGAGCCACGCAGTTATTACTGTTGATTTTGTGTATTTTCACCGAAAATATATGGTATACACCAGAAAGGGTAACAAAAAAAGACTGAAATCACTGGAAATTTCGCAAAGGCCATCTAGATAAGCTGAAGAGTGAAAAATGAATACAAGCTTGAGAAGGATGAAGATTAGCTGTAAGCAACAGTTTCACTGATTATGTAATTCTATGACTTTTATATGATAAAAATGAATCATTATATACATTCTTTGGTCTATGTGTTTCATCTGCTGCTAACCGAGCAGTGACCCTACCTGTCCTTTATTGTGTCCTTTTACTTGACCAATGAACTTTTACTGACTGACGTGTGAGAAGAGAATAGAGGCAACTGAAATATGAAATAGTAGAGTATAGCTAAATAAAAATCATGGACGAGAGTCGTAGCAAGGATACTCGTCCAATTTTTCATCAAAACCTTTTCTCTATGATTCTTTGAGTGTTTCACGTGTACGCGTATCTGAGAATGGTAATTCGAATTTCTCTATTACATTTCTGTTAGAAAGAATATACGTTGATGGATCTTCATCATGGCAATCATAAGAGGAAAGTGTGTCTCTAATGCTTTTCTATTATCGCGTATGTCAAAGTCTGTATTATTCATGCTGTTACATTTATTGATATCACGTTTTGACACAAAAAAGTTACTGGGTGCTTGCAGTAGCATCTAGACACCTCAAAATGGCACAGATCCTGATTTGGAACGAAATTCAGTTCTAAGACACATTAGAAGTTGGAATTAGTCTAAAAGAATCATGGCTTAGATTACATCAAGAATATATCCTTTCACACCATACCATATCGTGAAGTTTTTCATAGCTTAATATTTTTAAATAGAATCCGTTCAACGTATCAATGTATCCATATTGTTCATATATAATTCTTTTCTCAATTTTACACACTACTAGAATAATTTTGCCAAAAAAAAAAACTAAAACAAAATTATCTCAATCTGAATTAATGAAATCTTGTTGATCAGTCTGAACCGATTCATTAAAAAGAAATTATTTGATTTGTTGAAATTCTTTTTCTTTCTCCACTGAAAAACTTCATATAAAATAAATAAAAACAGAAAGGAAATTTTATTTATTTTTGGGAAAACAATTTATTCGGTCGAAAGTAAAAATATTCGAAAAGAGAATTCGTATTTTCGGAAAAGATCTCTTTTTTTGAGTATTATGAAAAATTGATTAGCAACACTTGTGATCATGTCTAACATCCATTTTTGCTATTAGTTCATATGTTTTTTATTAGAAATTTCTCATTTTTACCATTGAAATCGTATGTAACGGGTGTGGCTGTGTGTGAGCGGAAACCTTTTTTTCCCTCACACCCACATGCACACCCAGATCCGCACCCTATTCAATACATTTACCAGGATAGGCTAAAATCGTCGTAACATAATGTCGATGTCGACTTATTTCGAATCTGAGATAGATCGAAATTTACTTTGTAAGTTTCATTTAGAACACATACTGATACAATTCAGTTTGAAATCAGGTCTAGACCCAAGAAGCGTTTCATTTGAGCCGCGCCTGGACGTATTCGCTTTCCACATTTCAATCATATATCAATCATGATTCAGATGCCTTTTGACTACACAAATATTTATATGAAAATACGCTTATTCTCTTGTTTAGAAATTTAAAAAAAAACTTTTCTCCGTTGATTTAGTACATATTTTTGTTTTAAGACTTATTTAGCTTTGTTTGATCAATTACAAGAATAATGTTCAGCATAAACTGATGATTTCACTATATATTATCATCAGAAATATGTTGAATTAGTTGAGAGATATCTGATTGCAGATTTTCATGTCATGCTTTAGTTTACGTCATTATGCAAAATATAATGACTTTGCATCCGTTACAAGAGTAATCTTTCAAATAATGTAATCTTATTGAAAAACATATTTTTATAATCAAAATGATATTCTTTCAAATCACGAATCTTATTTGAACAAACATTAATTTCGATCAAGAGTAGGTTTATTATTATTGCAAAAAAATCAATTATTAATTGCTTGTTGAATATATTTCATATTTAGAAAAAAAAAATAGTTCGAATTTATGCAATTCTAGTACCATCCGTATGGATAATGAAATACATGATAATGATATCCAGGATAATAACTTCCAAGCATTTGTCCAAATGTTGGATTTGGATTTCCACCCATTATATTATCAAGAAAATGACCCATGGGACCTACATGAAAAGAAATAATTAAGAACAGTTCGTTTTTTAATGGTTATTTCTTTTTATGTATTTATCATTATTCATTCAAATAAAAAATAAATTACTATTTAGATTTGTGATCAAAATTCAAAGTTTATTACAGAAAAATGCCACAATCTTTATCAAGACAATACTTTGAAAATTTGTAAATGAATCAATCATTAGTATTTATTGTATATGTAGTAGCTATGAAAATTATTCAACAAGGTTTATTTTGAATTTTTTTTTGCTGTCTTCATCGCAAAAAAAGAATCGAAATAGTGATTCAAATAGAGAAGAATATATCCTCTAAGAATATCAAGGAAAAAGAAAAGATTATCAGATTTCGCAAATTGAGATTCCGAGAAAACTGAACGGTCACTTTTCAGAATCTAGCACACACAAGTTTTATTTTTTTCAGAATAAACAAAACCATAGAAGAAAGAATTTCCTACAGAATAAGCTATTTTCGAGTACTTTACCAATTTTTTTTGCTGACATACAACAATCTGATTGAAATTCTCAAATTGAATTTTTCATAG